TAGCTGGGTACTCGATCAAATTATGCTTCAGCCGCCGTGAAGCCATTGAGCTTCATTCGTTTAGACCTTGAGTGAAAATTTGAACAACCTAATCGTCTGTGACTAGTGGTAGATCTATTCGTTCCATTTGGAAACGAGATACGAATTCTCTTAGCATCTCATTATCCTTTTGTCTTACCTTGAATAGGTCCGACTTCCTGGTCTCGACCTTTATGGGCCCAGCATATGCTTTTACGAAAGAATTTGCAAGCATAGCAAAAGAATCGATAGAGTTAGACGGTAAATTTTGATATTGTATCATTGCTCCCTTTGACAGGGTTTCCCCGAATGTTTTCAATAATACAGATTCGATCTCGCCGTCCTCTAGATCGTTCCCTTGGATGGCACATGTGTAAGAGGTGACATGTTCGTTGGGGTCGGTCGTTCCGTTATATTTAGGAATCTCGGGCATACGAAACTTCTTTGGGATCGGTTTAGGAGCCGCGCTCGGGGGGAAAGGCTTTTGTATGAATTTTTTAGAATCTAAGCCCTTCAATATCGGTGGTGCCCCCGGAATTTGATTAACCCCGGAATTATATGTTTCTATTTTTTTGTCGTTTGCCTCGATCCTCCTTTCTCATGACTCGATTCGTTTTGTTAGTTCTTCGAGTATCTTAACAATTTTGGGATTAGTCCCTGATTCTTGCTCATTTGACCTTACTATAGCTGGCCCCGCTTTGTGGGTGACTTCTTGGGGTGGACTGGGCTCGAGTCTGGTTGGTGTCTGGGTTTGGCTCTGCAACTGGGCTATTGCTACTTGTTGAGCTTGCAATATCTCGATGATCATACGCAAACTGATTTCGTTTTCCTCAGTGTTTTGGGTATTTCGAGCTGCGGATCGAGTTCCACCATGAATGTTATTTTCAGGGTCGGAACGTTGGTTCGCCTCGATGGCTGCATGTGAATTGACGTCTATTGGCTCTTCGACCCAAGCTCCAGCGGGATCGACGAGTGGCCTTCCATTCCTAGGGGTTAAGTTGTTGTTCTCATCTTGAAGGTCAGCTTCGTTATCGATAGGTAGGGCCATTAATTGAGAATTCATCATTTTCAACCTGAAATTAAAGATACTTCCAAGAGCAAGTGTAAAATGGTGTATTTTGTAGAGATTCGTACCAAACAAACACTATTATCCTTAGCCCCACGGTGGGCGCCAAATTGTTACCCGAAAAACGGAGAGAGTTGAATTTATACATAGTTCTAAGAATACGTGGTATAACTTGGCACAAATCGAAAAGTGAGTAGAAATATATTGAGTATTGACTGCATAAAGAATGAAATGCAAACCAAATTGAATAGAAAGCTATTTTATGAACAAGCAAGATGAATCAATGTATAAGCTCGCAAGAGGATATTCTCTATAACTGTATCAGTATGTTTTTCTCTATTAATAATATGAGAGTGTATCAATGCCTTAATCATGGATGCCTTACATAAATAGTAGCTATGCCTCTTATAGTGGAGGTATCCTATTTTAGATATAATTAAAAATACATAGTGGGGAACCTGTGGTAGAATAGCTTTTTCCTAATTCCCGCCGAGATTCTCTCTCCTTAGTGCGGCTGTAACGGCTCTTGTCCCTTGGCTCGACCTCGATCGGACTTGGTATTGGTTGGTTTCCAGATTTAGAGCCCGATATTGACTCGGGGCCCGATATTGACTTGGGCTCGATTTTGGATGGTCTCTGGTTCTCAAGCTCGATAACGCCGTTTCGCATCATAGCTCGATTTGAATTCAGAGTTCGGTAATGACTTCGAGTTCGGTATTTGATCGGTCCCAGAAATTTGAGCTCGGTAACCTGGTTTCGGATCTTATACCTGATATTATGAAGATGACTTTCGATCCATTATGTCCTAATCTTGACTAATCATACGAAGGTCGAAACCGATTTTGATCGTATACACATATATAGGTTGGATAAAGCCAAATTCATAGAACTTGAAGTAAGACGGTCAGAGTATTCAATCTTCAGTATGATTTTGAAAATCAATGTATTTATTGAAAATAAAATTTATATATGTAGAGAGTGCACTTTTGGATGGTTATTACGTATCGTTTTATAATGTATCGTATTGTATTGTACTGTATCATTTAATTAATATAATGTTTGGATAGATTGTATCGCTTGACGTTGTGTCATGATATCACACACCAACAATAAACTTGCAATATTTTAAAGAAAAATTATAATACGGGGTAAATTATTATATAAAAAGATAGGGTAAATGATAAAATAAAATTATTTAATAATAATGAAGGGTGAGATGAGAGAAAAAAATAAGGTAACGACGCGACCACACCAAATCGGTCGTTACATAAAGTGGCACATTTTGTCGTTACGTAACGACGGATTTAACGATACTATACAATAAAATTTAAGTAACAATCAAAACAAACATCGTATTTAAAGTAACAATACGATACAATACAACAGGTAACAACCATCCAAACAAGCTGTAAACTTAATATTAAGCCATAAATCGTTAAACATTCTAAATGTTTACAAAATATCAGAACAGTCACATTTAGAAATAATATCTTCACTCTTTTTTTTATGGCGATATCTGACTTAACACAAACTCTTAAAACTTCAATATGTCATGTAATTTCTACATAAGCATGTCAGTAAGATGATATTTGTAAAAATTAAAAGAAAACAATTAAAATTGAGAAGGAAAAGATATTAAGTTTTAACATCAATTCTCTCTCTAATAATTGGGAAAGAGGAAAATTGACAAGGAAGCTGCAGTTTCACATGGCCTCCATACACAAAATCCCTTACCACTTTCACTACTTGAGAAGCCAAGAAGCATCACATAACAAAGTGACACACCACTCACTGTTTTTTAAATAGAAAACCTCACATGATTCCATGTGATTTATTTTTTAAGATTACTCTGTTTTGGCCTTTGTTTTACTCTATTTTTAAATAAAAAGGTACAGTTGATTGCCTCAGACATACCCCCTCCTTTATCTATCCATTTCCTCCTCTGTTTGTCTTTGTGCTCTAACTTAATTGTACCTACTGGTACTACTTAGTTTAGCTAACTTTCTATTGATTTGATTCATCCTACATTATGTTTTTGTGTGAGAAGAAAGGTTGAGAGTCCCTTGACTTGATTCTCGAAATTACCTCTTATAAGAACAGTTCCTTAAATCAAGATTCTCAACTGAAAAAATAAGTAATTAGTTTGTTATCACATTATTAAATTATATTGATAGTATAAAGAAATGTAATACAATAAGCTAATATTTTGGAAAAGACAAAGCTCACGTATCAAAAGTTAGTAATGTTTCTCAACTAGTACTGTCTAGTTAATCTTTATAAAATAGGGTAACTCAAACTTTAAGAATGGAGAGAGTAACCTTCACTCGTAATTATTCTTGAAATCTTTGTCATTCACATGAGTTAAGAATACCTTTGTCCTTAAGAAAGCTGCCTTTCCCTAAATTCTCTGATTTTGCACCTTTTTTGCCACTCGGCCATGTAGGTAAATCAAGCCATCTTTTACAAAAAGTCATCGACTAAAGAGAGAAAAAGAACTAATAAATGAAGATAGATATACGATTTTAATATTTTAATAATACACTCACTACTCCTTTGTGACAGTAGATACGAACTTAACATAAATATGTAATTTTATCAAAATTGTTCAACTATTTATCTGCAGATCGAGTAGCGCAAAGTTGAAAAAACCTAAATGTGCAACAACAATAGCTACGTCTTAATCTTAAGCAATGTTTTAAAAGGCGTGGACATAAGGCGAGACATTTTATATATGCCTCAGCGAGGCGTAAGCCCTGAGGCACGGGGCGTGAGCCCCATAAGTATTTAATTTTTAATATTTTATAAAATAATATAATAACAGTAAATATTTATAAATGGGTAAAATTGCATAAAANATATATATATATATATATATATATATATATATATATATATATATTTTTTTCACATATTGTGTGTATGTGCGTGCGCGCGCACTCCATCTCCACAAAAAAATAATCAAAACAATCTATTATACGCTACTTACAAGCACAGTAATTTGAGTATAAAAGAATAAAAAAATTTATATGGAGGAACAAAAATGACGATTAACCTGCAATTTTAACTTTGAACTTGCTTTAATGAAGGAGAATGTAGTTCTCTATGTATTTGTAAAAAAAAATAAATATTCGTTGCTTTTGGGAGATATTAGCAGACTAGCGGACAAGATAAAAAATTGGGAAAGATCATGAATTAGGGGTTCAATCAATAAAAAAGGTTTTGACTTTTAAATTTAATACTTTTGAGTAATTACCAAACTGATTTTTGAGAATTTGGGTATTATATGAATGACTTATTCAACAAATTTCGTTTTAATTTGAAAAAATTTCTGAGACTTACTCCTCATTAAAAAAAACGCGCCTCGAACGTTCGGGCGTACGCCCCAAATTGCTGGATGTACGCCTCTTGAGACTTTCTCGCCCACACCATCGCCTTTTTGGTACGCCTCGCCCCGAAGCTCGCCCCGAAAACGCCTTTTCTAAAACAGTGATCTTAAGCAAGTTAATGTCGGATACATGAGTCATTGCCTATGATGTCGCTCAATTTATGTCCGTCACAGTCCAATATCAGTTATCAAGAAATAATTTCTCTAGCATTGGAAGTTTTATATATATTTTCTACCGGCCTCTTATACGCAATAAAGGGGAAAAAGTAAAACAAGAACATTAACACAAAATTACGTTGACTATGAGAAGGAGAAAAAGAAGTAACTGATGTAGAACGAGGCAACACATGAAGAAGAACACATTCTCTCCATGTTCAATGTCGGAGTCACTTACAATAAAGTCCAAACATTTGCCCAGTCAATTATTTGCATATTAACAGCTGTTTTGCAGAACCCAAGATCTCACGACCTCCTCCTTTTTGTTAACTAATCCCCATGTGAACTTAGTATTTTACTTACTCCATTAATATTGTATATACTATATTACTAGTACTATACTCTTCTCTTTTTTTCTTATCTTCTTCTTCTTCCCCCTCATACCCCACTTCACCGGCCCCATCATTTCCCTCTCATCGTTGTCTCAATCATGATGCAACAATAGCACAGAAATTATTAGCAAAAGAAAGTGTAAGTAGAGGGAAAAATGAATTTGCTTACCATTTTCCTACTGTTCTTGTTTTACTGTTACATTGGTTTTGCTAAGGTGGTGGTGGAGGCAAAAGTTGAGTTGAGAGACGAAGTGTCTATTTTACTTTCTATTAAAGAAAGTCTTATTGATCCTTTGGATCAACTTCGCGATTGGACAGTGCCCAAGAATGCAGCTGCAGGGAACGTTTCGGTTCCCTGCAGCTGGACTGGAGTTGAATGCAACTCCAAAGGTGCAGTTGAGAAGCTTGATTTGTCACACATGAATCTCACTGGCAAAGTGTCTGATGATATTCAAAAGCTGAAGAGTTTGACTTCTCTTAATCTATGCTGCAATGATTTCTCATCACCATTGCCAAGAACCTTATCCAATCTCACTGCATTGAAAAGCATTGATGTGAGCCAGAACTACTTTGTCTATGGATTTCCTTTGGGTCTTGGAATGTCAGCAGGGCTTATGTATTTGAATGCTTCGAGTAATAACTTCTCCGGTTATCTTCCTGAGGATATTGGCAATGCAACATTCCTCGAGACTTTGGATTTTCGAGGGAATTTCTTCGAAGGTTCAATTCCTAAATCTTACAAGAATTTAGGAAAGTTGAAGTTTTTAGGCCTCTCAGGGAACAATTTGACTGGCCACATTCCAGGAGAGCTTGGGCAGCTATCGTCGCTTGAGACTATAGTTCTTGGATACAATAGTTTTGAAGGTGGAATTCCAGCTGAGCTTGGAAATTTGACCAATCTCAAGTATCTTGATCTTGCTATTGGCAATCTTGGAGGTGAAATTCCTGCTGAGTTGGGCAAGCTGAAGCTGCTCAACACCATTTTCTTGTACAAGAACAGTCTTGTAGGTAAGATTTCACCAGAGATTGGCAGCATGACTTCATTGCAGCTACTTGACTTCTCCGATAACATGCTTTCGGGTGACATCCCAGCTGAGATTGCTGACCTTAAGAATTTGCAGCTTTTGAATTTGATGTCCAACAAATTATCAGGCTCAGTTCCTTCTGGAATTGGAGGTTTGCCTCAGCTGGAAATTCTTGAGCTGTGGAATAACAGCTTATCAGGTCCTTTGCCAAGTGATCTTGGCAGAAACTCGCCTTTGCAATGGGTAGACATTTCATCCAATTCATTCACTGGTCCTATTCCAGAAGGGTTATGCACCAAAGGTAACCTAACTAAGCTTATCTTATTCAACAATGCTTTCTCTGGTCCAATTCCATCTGGTTTATCAACCTGCACGTCCCTTGTTCGTGTAAGAGCGCAAAACAATCTTCTTTCCGGGACAATCCCAGCAGGTTTTGGTAAACTTGGGAAACTCCAAAGGCTGGAACTGGCAAACAATAGTTTGACAGGCCAAATCCCAAGTGATCTTGCTTCTTCTACCTCTCTTTCTTTTATTGATGTCTCTAAAAATAACCTTCAGTCTTCTATTCCTTCATCCATTCTTGGACTTCCAAGTCTTCAGAATTTCATTGCCTCAGAAAACAACCTTGTAGGCGAAATCCCGGATCAATTCCAGGATTGCCCTTCTCTTTCTGTCCTGGATCTATCCACAAACCATTTCACTGGAGATCTTCCAGCTAGCATTGCTTCCTGTGAGAAGTTAGTAACTTTGAATCTTCGAAACAACCAATTAACTGGTCCAATTCCAAGAGCAATTTCTATGATGCCCACATTAGCTGTTCTAGATCTATCCAACAATTCTTTAACTGGTGGAATACCTGACAACTTTGGCAATTCCCCAGCATTAGAAACGCTGAATGTTTCTCATAACAAACTTGAGGGCCCTGTTCCGGCAAATGGCATGCTCAGAACAATCAATCCAGATGACCTGATTGGCAATGCCGGTCTCTGTGGTGGTGTGCTTCCTCCATGTTCTCACAATGCAGCATACACATTGAAGGAAAAGAGCTTGCACGCGAAGCACATCATTGCAGGATGGCTAACTGGGGTAGCAGCTCTTCTACTTCTTGTTACAGCAAGTCTTGGAGCTAGGTCTCTATACAAGAGATGGAATGAAAGTGGAAGCTGTTTCGAACAAAGGTTTGAGATGAGCAGTAGTGAATGGCCGTGGAGGTTGATGGCATTCCAGAGGCTAGGATTCACTAGTAATGACATCTTGGCTTGCCTTAAAGAGTCGAATGTCATTGGAATGGGAGCAACAGGGGTTGTATACAAAGCTGAAATGCAACGTCAGAATACGGTTGTTGCAGTGAAGAAGCTATGGAAATCTGGAACTGATATTGAGATGGGGGGAAGTGAAGATCTTGTAGGTGAGGTGAACGTTCTAGGAAAATTGAGGCATCGGAATATTGTCAGGCTTCTGGGGTTCCTTCACAACAATCGCGATGCAATGATAATATATGAGTATATGCAGAATGGCAGCCTTGGAGAAGCTTTACATGGTAAACAAGCAGCAGGGAGATTGCTTGTGGATTGGGTCACTCGATACAACATAGCACTTGGAGTGGCACAAGGCCTTGCTTATCTCCATCATGATTGCCATCCACCAGTTATTCACCGTGATGTAAAGTCAAATAACATACTTCTTGATGCAAATCTTGAGGCAAGAATTGCAGATTTTGGTTTAGCAAGAATGATGCTCAAGAAGAATGAAACAGTTTCTATGGTTGCTGGATCTTACGGATACATAGCCCCCGGTAAGTCCTTACTCCAAAATTTTCAGCCTAGTTTAGTAAAATCTTAATGTATACTTATAGAGTGATCTTTGCTAATATTTGACAATCATTTATCTGGATGATGACTTTGCAGAGTATGGGTACACACTGAAAGTGGATGAAAAGATTGATATCTACAGCTATGGTGTAGTTCTCATGGAGCTCCTAACTGGAAAACGTCCTCTAGATCCTGAATTCGGGGAATCTGTTGACATTGTAGAATGGTTTCGGATGAAGATCCGAGACAATAAATCTTTAGAAGAAGCTCTAGACCCCAATGTAGGAACGATACAACATGTTCAAGAAGAAATGTTGTTAGTTTTAAGGATAGCAATTCTATGTATAGCCAAACTCCCCAAGGACAGACCGTCCATGAGGGATGTTTTGACAATGCTCGAAGAGGCAAAGCCTCGAAGAAAGAGCAGTAGCAACAGTGGAAGTAGTCCTGCTACTACTGATAAAGATAAGCCAATATTCAGTACATCACCTGTAAATGGCCTTCTGTAAGAAGAGAAGTCATGACCCTTTTTCCTACTTGAGTCCATTTTATTTGTAATTTTCATGTAGTATTTGACCTGTATTTAGAAGTTCATATATCGATTCTTGTATGTGTAGAATTTAAGGCAGTACAGGCAGCACTTTTCCTGCTGCAAGTGATTTTTTTGATCATGTAAGAAAAAGTTATTGATCAGAATAACACAGTTTTAACACGGAAATATTCTCTAATCAAGATATGGAATTGTATTGCTTACCTGAAAAAACAATCTTTAAGGGGAAGAAAATCAACTCAAACTAACTATCTAAAACAATCTTTAAGGGGAAGAAAATCAACTCAAACTAACTATCTAATTCCAGGATATTTAAATATCCCTCACAAGGGTTTCTCCAATTTCTCCTTTTATCTGTAGGTTATTCACTTGATGTTCATAACCTCCCTAACATTTTTTCGTTTAGAAAAAAATCCAAAGCTTATAATGGTTTTCTCATCCAATTTGCCATTTTGTTCAGAAAGAATTACCCTTAAGCCCCTTTTCTCTTCAACCAAAACCCATCACAAATCAAATCACTTTTGGCAACTCGAGTCTGCATTTCTGTTCTTTATTGTAGGTTTTCTATTTCCCCTTCTCTTGTTTCTTATTTTCTCCCTCTTAACTCTGTACGTTCCTCTTGAACAAGTGATGATATGCAATATAAAGAATCCAAGGAAGGTTACAACCAGCATTGTAAAATGTACAATTCCAACACACCTCCTCCGTGGCTAAGCTATACTTTCTTCCCTACGCTTCTGACAATCAAATAATTTTAAGTTTTATAGACAATGTATCTTGCTCCAAGCAATAGTTGGAGAAATACTTGCGGAAATAAGAGAAGACAAAAAGTTGAAATACAAACATGAAGCAATGAAATCTTTTATCAAAACCAACAAAAAAGGTTCCCAGTATGAACCTTGCAAATTTTTCTTTCAACAACATTAGCGTTCATCTGTTTCAGGGCGGCAAGCTCATCATCGTAATATAATACAAGTAGACATATCCATACTCACAAGGCAGAAAGCAACTTCCTCTGAAGATTGCATAGTGTATGACATATACCAGCATCTTCTGTAATCTACCAAAAGGTCTCTCCTCCCAGAGAGTGGGCACCATGACCCGTGTGGTAAAAAGCAGGAAAAAAGTGACAAAAAAATAAAAAGCCAATAAGGTCACATATGATCAGTTTGTTACTGAGAAATTATTTTATAATCCACTATAATTTCCTTCTGTACTTCATCCTTCCAATAAGGGGCTTCTTCATCTTTGAAAGTAGATTATTTATCTGACCTATATAGGCTTAGTCCTCTGTCTTCCATTTCTTTCCATGAAACTTGGAGCTGAAATTCAACAAAGAATTTAGTCAGCATGTCAGTTTTAATCTGTACGAGGAGCATGTGCATCATATATGTGACTCACGCTTACATGTACCAAGTCCATTGGCGTCAGATGTCCTCATGATTCGTAGTCTCTTGACGGAGCTAATAAACATCCTGAAACAAACAAGGAAACAAATAAGGCGGCCATATGATAAACACGGGTACATTTAATCGGTTCCATACAGAAGAATGTTGTGCGTTCTACAAAATCAGCCAGAAAGCACAGAGGGAACTGCATTATAACAATTACTGATTTCTATGAAGCCAAAGCTAAACCAGATTGGGCAATCCCCAACCCTTATAATTCGAACATAATAAGAATTTAAACTAGCAAAACAAAGTACAAAACTGCATACATATAATGTAAGAACCAAATTGCCAATTCATGTTGATGAATATAATCCCCCTATTATTTAATAAGCAACTTCTCCTATTCATTTTTCACTTTAAGATAACAAAGTTCAGACGTAAAGTACTATGCATCTGTTGATTTTTTCCAACACGTTTTATAAACAATAACTAGGTGTATTTCAGTTGCCTATGTGCAGGAGGAGCAAAGTAACAGATGCAGGACATACTCCCATGGAACATCTCCAACAAGCATCCAGTCTCCTTCTTTGTCTTCATAAGTTAGCACAAATTCTGATGATCCATCTAATAATCTTGAAGATGACGTTTCTGACATTACACCTAGCTCTTGTGCATTTGACGCTGACAGCACACAAAAATTGTTAATGTCAGAAACCATGGAAAATGAACCTAAAATACTAGTTATAAGAACTCCAAAGAATTGTTAAAAAACCAGAAATTAGCATGAAATGTCTGTCAGTTCCTCCAAGATATCAGGCTTAGAACATATGGGACAGCTAATATTTCCAACAAAAAAACATAATTCATTACAACCATGACCAAAACTCGGTGTATAATTCATTCAACTTCTGAAGCAACTAAAAACTCATTATCCTTTACGGCATATTTGTGGTAACAATCTTCTGTTCCATTGTCAGATTAATGAACTAGGGAGAAGAACTACTTACATCTTGCACAAACCGCTGTGTTGGGTTTTAGGAACATCCTATCTAAAGTCCGTTCCAAGTTCTCATAGCTACTATGAGCATTCAGATCTACCTTCCTTCCAATTGCAACTCCATCCATATTGACCTTCACAAACATGGAAGTCTTGATGAGCCCTTTCTCCTTGGCAAAACTGTTGCTCTTGCTGCTTCCCCCGTTAGTGATAAAATTTTTGCTTTTGCATTTCTCAATTGCCCCGCAATATTCTTCGGTGGGTGGTGATTTTGTCTGGTTAACTAGGGTATTCATCCTATAAGTTCTTACAGGAGGCCATCCAACAACCTGACTGCAATGTCGGATTCAAGCAAAAGGTAAGTAAAAGTAAAAGATTAAAAAAGACAAAGAGAAAGAAAACTATAAATCTTAAGTATGTTAAGCAGCTTATTATAGTTTACTCACTAAATAAAATGCACAACCTACATTAGCAAAGATGAAAAAGGAAAGGCATATTTTCCTGTGACATAGGAAAAGTTTCAAACACAAAATTATGTATGCAACAACAGTGATGACATAGTTTAGTCATGACAACTGACAAGTGGCAGATGACATTTTCTTTAGGGGTGCCAAGTAGCAAAACAGTCAAAATAACCATACATGCAGTAACATAACGATATGGAACAATACCACATCACACACTAAACATATAAACCATAACAAACAATACACAATATGTACTCACATTTAACATACAATAAACTTCCTGAAAAGGAGCAAAATTTTATATCACCAACCCCAGACATTTTGGAAATGAGCGCTTCAAGGAATAACTCAACGACAAAGAGGCACCAAAACTATGTAATCACACTCTTTTAATTAACTGATAGGATATAAACTTATCTATAGGTTCAGTGAAACCAAAACTTATTGAGTCTGACCATAAGGAATGTTATAGGAGGATGCAACTTTTCAGGACAACAATATCAAAATCTTCCTTAAGAGTTTCATACATAAATGTAGTCTCAACCACCAATCTTGGAAGATGAAGACGAGCTCAATATCCAAAGGAGCACCCTCTCTTTTTCTACACGAATTTGAGTTACCTGTGCTGGTTCCAAATGCTCTTGAATGGGCAGTTGAATAGAGGATAAACAAAATCTTTTTCTTCATGGACTAAGACTGAAACCATTCTGCCAAAGAACCTTTTCCTACTTGATGGACTAAGACTGAAACCATTCATGAAAATCTTACACAGGTAGAGGCGGATCCATATTTCAATTTAAGGATTTAACCTTTAGGTTCTTACAACAAAAAGCATTACACTTTTGGAATTATGGGTTTAGAATCTAATATTTGTTAAATTTATATATGTCTACGTGTGCTCTACATCACAAGCCACATGTCATGAGTCACATAATTTCTGTCAGATTAAAACTTCACCTTTTTGTCACTTCAAAAGGGATCCTTCCTTTAGATGAAGGGACATAAATATTCAATTAAAGTCGGAGATCACATAGTTTGGTACAATATTCCACCACGAGGAACAAAATAATGCAGAGAGATATAGAAAGTACATACTACAAGATAATGCTTATTAAAGGAAATGAATAAAAGAAAACGCATTTCATCATAGGTATCAGATTCCTAGAGAACCAAATATCTTGAACAACTTGTTCTAATCAAACATAATGTAATAAAGAAGAGAAAATTGACACATAGTTACATTAAAAAATCACATTAGAGCAGTAAAGAAGCTGCAGCTAAGAAATAGTAAGTGCTTATCCATAACCTTAGCAAAGCATGAAACTAGCACCTACGCAGATAAATTTATGAAATTGATTGCTTGCCTGACAGTAGAACGGGGAGGTGAAATAGAATCAGCAGCTCTCTTGGTGCCACAGAAGGCATTATTATTAAGTTTAGTAGCTGAAGAAGAGGAAGATGAAGAAAATGAATTGGAACCCAAAGAAGGGAAATCTTTAGCCGTCAAGAATTTAGCCCTTGAAGCTCCAGTTTTATTAGACTTAGAAACAGCAGCACCAAGACTAAGTCCAAGACCCAATTCAAGCTCAGATTCATCAGGGTATGATGATGAAGAAGCCTCAGATGATAACAACACCATATTCTCTTCCTTTGACACTGTTGAAATTGACCCGTCACTTCCTCCTCCACCATCACCAGCTAAATCCATTAGACCAAGAGTAGCTTCCATCAAAAACAGAGAGGGGTTTCTTGATTTTTTGCAGGTGGGTAAGAAGGGAAAGAAGAAAAGAAAAGCAAATGGGGAGAAAGGAAATGGTAATGAAAGGTTGGTGAGGGTGGGGGGGGAGTGTATGAGAAGGTAGAAAAAGGAGGGAGAAGTGGGGTACCACCTGTCTGCTTTGTGCGCTTCAGCGGAGGATGAATAGGATGATGATTTTTCTCCTAACGGTCCCCAGCAGTAATGTCTTATGTCTGCAACTACTGCTACTGCTATTTTGTAGCAGGCAATAACTAACAGACCAGATTTCTTGTTTTTCTATGAATTGCATATTGGAATGGACTAATAATTTTAATAATATAGTTAACTCCTAGCATTATTTTGTTCAATATTTGTATTGGTCTTTGACTAATTCAAATAAAATTCTTTTTATTTTCTATACTCAAATTCAAAACCTGCAATTAAGAGCGAAGAAATTGTATTCATCCAATCACAAATTTTTATGGTTTAATACTATTATTAGCACTGCTCCTACAGCCACACGTCATTTTAATGTGATATCATAAGTAGTAAACTACAATTATTCTAATTTGTTAACTAAATAATAATAATAATAATAATAATAATAATACTTGTATTTAAATCAAGCCGTCATACTTTTTGGATGGGAATTTAACATTTCACGAATTGCAAATTGGATTAATGACTAGTTCTAAGTTCTAACTGCTTAGCACTATTATTAGCGTTACTCCAACCGTTTGTACTTCATTTTATGTGACATCATACTTAATAAACTGCAATTTCTTGTATTTTGACCCCCAAAAAATAACAATTTCTTACAACTTTTAACTATAAAATATAGTATAATCTATCGGTTTTCTTGGTTTAATCAATGGTATTCGAAACTCAGTGGACCAACTAATTCATATTATGTTGTTTATGATCCATTTAAGAGAAAAATGCTCCCTATCAAATATTTATATATTCCCATTATAATCTATAATGCTTTTATTCAAATCAAGAAAAGAAAAGAAAATTAAATGGTTTGACCGTCTTAAACTTATCTTGTCAATGTATTCGGTAGAAATTTAATATTTCAATTGTACGTAAATGTATTTTAATAATAGATGGCTCCCTAATTATTTGAAAATTGTTGATTACATACGACCTAACCTCACTCAAGCTTGAATCGAACTTACTAACCTCTAACCACTTTACAGTAATAATAGCAACTTTACAAATTAACTAACTAACTACTAACCACTTTACAAGTATCTAGCCACTTTACATAATTAAGCCATCTCAACACCCCCTCCCCCCCCCCCCCCCCCCCCCTCAAGTTGGTGGTATGGAAAACACTGCCAATTTGTGCAAAACTGCTGAATGTTTGACCCATGTTAGAGCTTTGGTTAGAACATCTGCAAGCTGGTTTGCAGTTCCCACATGATGCAGTGAAATCAGCCCTTCATGTAGCTTGCTTCGCACAAAATAACAATCAACCTCTATATGTTTGGTTCTTTCATGGAACACAGGGTTCCTTGCTATGTGCATGGCAGACTGGCTATCACAAAACACTACAATGAGCTTAGGGAAAGGGTACATTGACGGGGATTTGGACCCTCTACACAGATGGTGCTTCAAATGTGAAGGGTTCTGGGCTTGGCATCATACTAAAGCCTCTCACAGGTGGCATTATTAGGCAATCCATCAAAACTACTAGATTAACTAACAATGAGGCCGAGTACGAGGCCATGATTGCAGGTATCGAGCTAGCCAAAAGCTTGGGAGCAGAAGTCATCGAAGCCAAATGTGACTCTTTGTTAGTGCTAAACCAATAACTTGACTACAAGGGAGAATGTCTCTATATAGTCAATGCCTGCTTGTTGGGTATATCCCTTCACAACCAACCTAGTTTTGAGTCTCTCTACACTCCCATTTGCTTTATATTTTATCTTATACACCCATATGCACCCTATAGTTTTCTTCCCAACAGGTAAAGGCACTAAGTCCCAGGTGTGAATGTTGCAAACTCTTGGTTCATAGTTGCTTGCCATGCAGGATTCATAGCTGCCTCCTCGTATAATGAGGGCTCGCTGTCACTGCATATGTCTCGCACGGGACTTTGGCTTTTAGGATTTAGAGCATCAGAGGAGACATGGCGATTTTTAGAAAATAAAGCATTGAGAGAAAATAATATAGTAGAATTACTGTGAGCAACAGGTGAAAATAATTTTAACTTTGGGAGTGAGTGCATGTAGTCTTGTAAATATAGAGGTGTTCTGTGAGGTCTTTGTGATTTCCTTAATGCAATGGGTGTGGGGCCTGGTTGGTAAGCAACTGGTGGTGTGCTTTGACTTGAAGATTGTGGCGTTTTGGATTGTGTTTAAGGAGGTGTTAGTGGAAGACTCAGTTAACCTAGAGGATCTCTGTAAGGCCCAGTAATTTTTTTATTTTTTCCCCTAAAAACCCGAATTCTGTGATGCCGAAGTAGGCGTAGAGGTTAATAGTAGTAGATCAGCATATTGGAACTCACGAAATCAGCACATTTCTTGCCAGTTAAATCTACCGACAAAGCGAAATAGTATGCTCAGTTGTATATCAAGGAAATAGTCGGGATGCATGGCACTCCAGTTTCTATCATTTTTTATTGTGGGGCTCAGTTCACGACAAATTTTTGGAAGAAATTTCAGCAAGGTTTGGGTACTCAGGTGAATCTTAGTACAACCTTCCATCCATAGACTGACGGGCAAGCAGATCAGACTATTCAGATTTCAGACGCTTGAGGATATGTTGTGTGCTTGTGTTCTTAACTTCAAGGGTAGCTGAAATGATCATTTGCCACTCATAGAGTTTGCTTATAACAACAGCTTTCATGTTAGTATTCAGACGGCACCATTTGAGGCATTATATGGTAGGAGATGTAGATCTCCCATTGGGTGGTTCAAGTTTGGGGAAGCATAGTTGATAGAGCCAGACCTTGTACATCAGGTTATGGAAAAAGTTAAGATCATTAAGGAGCGTTTGAAGACTGCTCAGAGTCGCCAGAAGTCCTATTCGGATGTTCGTCGTAGGAATTTGGAGTTCAAAGAAGATGATTGGGTATTCTTGAAAATTTCCCCCATAAAAGGTGTTATACGATTTGGTAAGAAAGGAAAATTGAGTCTGAGGTATGTCGGACCGTACAAAATCATTCAGAGGATCGGTGAGGTGGTGTACAAGCTTGAGCTACCACAAGTGATGTCATTAGTACACCCGGTATTCCACGTGTCTATGTTGAAGAAAGTAGTTAGAGATCAGTCATCTATTGTGCCGGTTGAGAACATTAAGGTTAATGAAGAACTGTCATATGAAGAAATTCCAGTTGTCATTCTTGATAGGCAAGTCCGGAAATTGAGAAATAAAGAAATTGTCTCCGTGAAAGTACTATGGCGAAATCAACAAGTTGAAAAAGCTACTTGGGAATCCGAGAAAGAAATGAAGAAAAATATCCTTATTTGTTTGATTTGCCTGAAAATTCTAAGGGTTACCTTCTACGAATTATGTATCTTTTGTACAGTTGATGTTAAGGGTGTTCTGTTTCTGGTAATATATTGCTCATGAGGCCACAATAGGTGTTGTTATTGTGTTATATTGCGTCATTGGATTATGTATATATTGTTAGGGTGTGTTTCTGGGGTTCTCTAACATGTGGATATGCCCAGTTATAAAGGAAACTCTAGCAAATTTTTTGAAAATTTGGGGAGTTAGTTAAATTTGGGGATACTGGTGTGGGGTATGAAAAACTAAGTTGCATAAGGTGCTAATAGTCGACCTTGATCCTCATTCGAGGACGAATGATCTTAATTGGGGGGAGGATGTAAGGCCCCGTAAAAATAATTTTCCTAAAAATCCGAATTCCGTGATGCCGAAGTAGGCGTAGAGGTTAATAGTACGGTTCAAACTTTTTGGATTAAAAGGTGCCTGAGGAGTTAAAGGAAAACGTTGGACAGAAGTAGGCATTTCTGCGGCCCGTTATGCGGCCGCAGAACCACTCTGCGGACCGTAGATTGGTCGCAGAGTGAGGCAGTTTTCTGGGGCATTTTTATGTCAATTTTGCGGCCAATTATGCGACTGCATAACCATTTCGCGAGTCGCACTTTGATCGCATAGTCATCCTTAGACTTTTGTGGAAGGAGGTTCTGCGGCGCGTTATGCGACCGCGGAACAAGTCTGCGGGCCACATAATAGTCGCAGAGTGAAGCAGGCCAGCCCAATTCCCAGAGCCACCTTTCGCGGTCATTTCACAGACCGCATAATCATTATGCGGTCGCATATGCGACCGTAGAACCTGTTCCGGAGCTTTATCTTTGGGGTTTTTAAACCCGACCCTATTCCGTTAAAATGCATACCATAGCCTATTTTGAGCACAATTCCGATATTTTTAGAGTGAGAGAGAGTTCTTAGAGTAGGGGAGCAACCTTCAACCTATTATCTACCAATTCTTGCTCAATACTTGAAGATTATCAAGAAAGTCCTCATCTTAAAGGTAAGAATCTATGCCCTAACTCTTAATTTCAAAAATCTACTAAAATAGGAGTAATTAGCAAGACAGTTTTTGGGTGTGGGAGTTGTTATCTTGCATGCATGTGTTATCAAATAATGTAGAAAGGTTGTGGGCTAACAATAGTAGAGAATGGGTTAAGGAATGATGGAATCTTTCGTAAAAGGTCCTTAAAAATATTAATGCACACCTAGTGCTTGTTAATATGCTCAAATGAGCTAGAATCATGACCATCTTCCTATTTTTGGTCCAACTTGTTATATTTCTAAAATAGATCGAAGTGCTAAGAATTCCGGAACGTTTTAGATCTTAAAGGAAGCTCAATTGAGGTATGTTGGCTAAACCCCTTCTTCTTAGAATCGAATCCCATGGTGTTCATGTAATTGGAGTAAGTCCTTGATCATTATTGAATTGGCTATTCCTAATATGGTTGTGTTGAAGGATGTATGTTCAATATTTATTCTAATTGCTTCATCATGTCATCTTGTCGTTTGAGGATGCGTTCAATATGTGGAATATGTGTTAGAAATGTTAAGACTTTATGTCAAGATCGAAATAAAGATTGTTATGCCAAATTGTATGACAAGCCTCTATGTGCCTAAGATTTTCCAAATTGCGCATATGTGAATTTAATGTCTTGAATGGGAAGCCCCGTTGTTGTTGATAATGATAATGATAATGATATTTGAATGTGGAAAAGAGAACTGAAATTATGAAATACGGCCAAG